TGCCCCCCCCCCCCCGAGGCCAGGCCTGCGGTCCCAACAGGTCACACACATGATATTCCCAGGACTCACATGGCTCAACTCACCACATCTTACTCTCTTTTGATAATACTACAGAAAGTCTGATAAAATACAAATGGAATGTTTAATGGCCGTTTGGATCTCTACCACTGTGAACTGGTCTTTCAGATTCTTTGGCTATTCTTTTATTCAGGCGTTTGTCTACATGCAATGGTATGCAACCATTAGGGATATTACTATGGAAGCATGCTTAACGCTGTGAGAAATGTTTACTATCTATTGTCTGTCCTATAAGTTAAGAGACATACTGTGCCAAAAACATGCATTTAAATTCACAAAAATATGAACAATGGTTAAATCCCTATCTATACAGTAAACTCTCATGAATAGAGAGTTTTTTCTCCGTTGTGTCCCTAATATCTAGCAAAATGCCTTGCACAGAGCAAGTGCTCAATAAATACATGTTGAGAGAATGAATGAATGAGAGAATGTCTCCCAGTTCTCAGACTGGGTAATTTCTACTTCCTTCTTCCTGCTTTTCTATATCCCCCATCTTTCTACGTCCATGATGAATTTACTCTAGTAGTTAAACAAAACAAAACAATTAAAAGAGACTAAATCCTTTTTAACTAATTGGAAATGTCCCATTGGTTCTAGTCTCAGTATTAATAGGAACAACCTTCTTGTTGGCCCAGCTTGTCCCTACCAAGCCCCAACACACTTGACCGTGAACACCCAGAGCACAGAGCGGCGGGGCAGCGGTGCCTGTAAGGCTGCTTCCACCTGCCGGAAAAGGGAAAACGGAACGGCCAGGCAAGGAGGGAGCTCCTGGGAAGAAGCCAGCCTTGGTCTGTTTGGGAGCAAAGCAGGGCATTCGCCCACGGTTGGGAGGTGGGAACAACAGAAGAGCGGGACTCACCGATGATGTAGGAGAGAATGAGGTTCCACCCTGTGATGAAGGCCCAGAGCTCCCCAACAGTGACGTAGCTGTAGAGGTAGGCTGAGCCAGTCTTGGGGACACGAGCACCAAACTCTCCGTAACAAAGGCCAGCCAGCACGGACGCCAGCGCGGCAATCAGGAAGGAGATGACAATGGCGGGGCCCGAGTTCTCACGGGCCACAGCTCCGGCCAGGATGTACACACCAGCACCCAGCGTGCTGCCCACCCCCAGCGCCACCAGGTCAAAAGTGTTCAGGCAGCGGGACAGCCGGCTGTCCTCACGGCTGCAATCCACCACCTTCCGCCTCAGCATCTGCTGACCAAGGTTGAGCAGCACCTTGCATCCCATCCTGCTGATGAAATCTGCTGAAGAGAAAGAATAAGGGTGTTTCACCAGTGCCACTCCTTGCACCCTTTCACCCCTCTAATCACAACACAGACAGTGACCGGGTCCCTTACTGTCATTTGTTGCTAAAATGATTTCAGTCTCAGAATTCCCCAACCAGAACACACACCTAGGACCTCTCCAGCCTGAAGCCTCACCTGAGCGCAGACACACCCGGGGCCAGTACACCAGCTGACTTTACCTGAGGTCTCTGAACACCTACATTTCTTTCAGTTCCCAACTGAAACGCTGTATGGGCAGGAACTATGGAGTACGGGAAACACACATTGGTGACGCTGTTCCTGCCCTTGACAATCATGTAATTTATCAGGAAAAACAAGATGTTACTCTAAGTGTATGTCAGGGAAGGCAAACCAAACCACATTTGAATTTTTCAACTCAGAGGCGCCAACTAGAAATAGCGATGCTTTTTAGATCTTTCTGGAATCCTGGGGACAAGGACCAAGCTGTTCCCACTCTTAACACAGGTGGTCCAGAGCAGAAAAATGTTGAATTATTAGATGTTAGGGTTTTTTCCTGGACCCAAATGTTAGCCTGATGTGTACAACATACTCCTGAGCACGTGACCACACATGGTCACGTGTGGCTCACGTCACCCATCCCTCGCATGGGACACACCCACTGAGGCCCAGGATACCAGGACAGCATTTAAATGACTCTTCTGTAACACACGGGCCAACCCTGCCTACTTGGGTTATTCCAGGGGCACTGCTGTGAGTCCTTGACCAGGATGGGCCAGCCCCCACCTTCAAGGAGGTGGGATAAAACTCCCCACCCTGAAGTGTGGGCTGCCCACAGTGACATCCTTCCAAAGAGGACAGTCTGGAAAGGGGAGAAGAGTCACTTTACAATGGAGAAACTAATGGTCATCATCAACAGTGACAGTCATGTTGATGGTATGTGACAAGAAGGTCACTTCACCGCTGTGATCTTCATACCCAAACCCATAGTCCCAGTCTCATCATGAGAAAAATACCAGACCAATCACAGACAAGGCGCATTCTCCAAAACACCTGACCAACACTCCTCAAAACAAGGGAAGTCCAAGAACTTGTCACAGGCTAGAGGGGCCTGAGGAGGCATTACAACTAAATGTCATGTGGAATCCTGAATGGGAAAAAAGACATTAGGAAAAACTTAAGAAAATCTGAATAAAGTATGGCCTTTATTTGTATCAATACCAGTTCATTAATTATAACATACCATACCAATGTAGGATATTAATAACAGGAAACTGGGCATGGGGTATATGGAAACTCTCTGGAATATCTTCACAATTTTTCTACAAATCTAAAACTGTTCTAAAATAGTTTATTAAAAAAAAAACCACAAGTGCAGATATGAAGGCAAAAACCATCATCATTTTTGCCTACCGAAATACAAAGAATATCACCGATTTTTCTTCTTTGTCATCAGTTGATACCTACTGACCTAACTTTGCTGCAACAAAGTCATTGGAAAACAAAACAGTCTAAATGGAGATCACAGAGCAGCAAAGTCAGAACCACCCAGACTTGCCTGTCTGCCACATCCTCCTGGAATGACAGGGCCCTCTGCGTGGGTCATGTCACTGGCTAGCTCTGGGTTATGGAGAAATAGGGGTGGTCCTTTCTGCATTTCACCAGTTTCTAGTACAATGGGGAATAAAAATCATCCGATATGGCCCCCTTATTACACAGATGAGAAAAAGTAACTACAAGAGCCAAGTGTCACACAAGGTCACGAAGCTCTAATGACACAGTGGCTCAAGTTCTCATCTAGGGCTCTGGCTTTACAGGTGGGAAGAAAATGATCTCTTTGTGTCGTAGATGGGGAGGAAATGGGGAGGAAATGAGGAGAGATGATGTATTTGTGCAGCAGGAAAATCAGCAACAAGGGTTTGATAAGAGCAAAAGAGGGCAGGTGACCAGAACAAGAGAGGGACAGCACAGAGGTCAATGGCTTCCTTAGCTGTCTTCAGCACCACACCGGCCTGTTCCTGAAAGTTCTCAGGTCAGAGGCAGATTCTGGGGGAAGCAGGTTACCCAGACAGAATCCTCTCAAGACAAGAGTGGCATCAGGGGGAGCAGGTGTGTGAGGACCTGCATGAAACACCAGGGTGAGGGGAAGGCCCAAGCATTGTCCCAGAGAGCCCAGGGACTGCCTTTACTTTTCTTCCTTAGAGGATTTATTCCAACAAGTTGTGAATCGCAACAATGTCATTAGAAACTACTGTCTGAATAACATGTTAAAAGGGAAGTTGCACATTTCAACACACCCCTCGGCTCTGCTAGGGTATGTGTGAAAAATCACAGCAAAATAGCTTCTCAACATCATTTTTGGTGGGAAGGGCAGTATTTTAAGTATATAGGAATTTTAAAGGGAAGTGGAGTGTGAACACTCATTATCTTGCATTGCTTTAAGTTGGTTAGGAGATGTGGTTTTTGGTTAATAATAAGCAGATTCTCTTCCCAAAACAATAAAAGCCAAGTGCAAGACAAAAATGATGTAATTAAGTAGCATTCTCCTTGCTAGGCCTCATAGAGTAAAGTGAACTAAGGACCCAGAAGGCTAAATGAGTCATCTGCCTTCCTCTGAAAGACAAAACTTCTGTCCTGGGCTCCAGAAGGGCCGGTCCAGTTCACACTCCCTTCTCAAAAGTGTGCTGCTGCCCAAAGCAGAAGAGTGAGCACACTGGGATTCTTAGAAAGGGGCACACTGAAGCCCAGATTCATCAGGAACTGATTTCTGAGACTTCTTAGGAGAGAAGGCAAATGGAAGCCCAGTGACCTCACTGTAGGCAGAAATGACCCATTGTGCGTGCACAGCAACGTGTGCTTGTGTGCTGCCAGCCTGGGGAGGGCTCCCACCAGTAGAAACTCACTCACAGAACCCACTTATTAATAATGGGGGGCCCAGCACCATTTTCAAAAGAAGGGGGCAGGTTATTGGATTCTATAAATTAGATATAGATAATTGGTTTTCAAACATCACATGAAAAGACAATTCTGAGATTACAAACTGTCTGACTGCACAGATGCAACACAGTTCACAGGGAACACAGAGGCCCAGTCTCCTCAGGATCAGTGCCTGGCCCACTGCTCCCTGATAGGAGCGCTGGGGCAAAGTGTTCTGTGCACCAAGTGGGGGCAGGCAGGGCAGGAACCTCACAGGAGATCAACTTCCCGTTATTCTTGCCTTGGTTCCTCTGCAAGTACTGCTTGCTACCTGCAGAAAGGGCAAACTCAATTTCTTTGAAAGACACTGGAACAAAAAGGCAACCGAGTGCTGTTGAGAGGTGCAGAGATGATCATCAGAAGGACGCAACCGTCTCGGGTTAGGTGTTCATTTCTACCTCCAGGGTAGGAGAAAGTGAGATATTCACTGTCCTGGCTTTGTTTTTAAGAAAGCCTTTCTGTCTCCTTGGAAGTAATGCAAAACCATGTCCCCCAAGTGGCATCATGTGTCAGTTTTCCATGCATGTCATGCCACCACTGACATTTGTGCTGGTACTTCAAAGCTGGAGGTTCAGTCAGCAGAAAGCCTGCACGAAAGTTCTCCGTACAGATGAAGCCCACGGTCCAACCCCAGCATTGCCAAGCTAACACAGACTCCTGCTGGCAGGGGACATGCACAAAGTTGCTAGAAGGTTCTGAAAGCATGAGCTGGAAATCAGGTCATCCTTTCTCGTGAGGAGGAATGTGTACAGTAGCTGACGCCTACTCTTGTTTGAGGTTTTGATAGAAATCTTGCAACAGCAAGAGTCCCCGATCCACTGTACTCCCTGCTCATTTATCATTAAAAGAACATTCACTTTGGATGGGATCCTCCTAGAAAAACTAAGAAAATCTGTTCCTTTCCCACATAAATTCTAACTTCAAGTTTTTTCCTAGTAATTACTATATAATAACAATAGGATTAAATTCAGCAATCAATGGTCAGGATTTTAGAGATAAAGGCTTTTCTATGTTCTATTTTGAAGGTTTCCGGATAAAAGTGGGCAGGTGTGAATGGTATAATTTTTAAATCATATTTAATGATAGTTCCACGACTGAAAAAATCCAGATTAATGGCCTGAAAGAGTCTGACATAGGCTGTTATAGATATATATTAAGTTCATGAATGTCATCCTTTGAACAAAATCTTAATATTGACATTTTACTAGTCATAACTCTGGCTTTTCCTTGAAATGAATGATCTTTTAGAAGGGCCCAGGCCCCAGTCACCTTTCACCAGGCACCTTGTGGAAACCAGCTAGAGTAAAATCTATCATTCCAACAGGATGTACACTGTGGTCTACATCTCACCAGGCTAACAAAAGCAGGTCTTTGCTCAGGTGCCAGCCTTATGGGACCCCACTAATGAGTGGGCTAAGTCATTTTAGCTGCCTACAGCAGGAGCAGCTGGCCAACCATATGGAGGACGTGCAGCCTGTGGGTGGCTGCCCTAAGGCACCCGGAGGGCTCTAGAGCTCATATAACTTTAACAAGGAAGGAAGTAGAATCTTTGTGACTGAGTGATCTGCAACCAGGTGGCAGGATGGTGTCCAAAAAAGGACATTCTAGGACACTGGCCATTATAGAGAGGAAGAGACTCAAGGCAAGGAAAAAAACCTGTGTTGAAGGAAGTGTTTTCAAAGCCGGATCTCCACTTCCCCCCAGATGTTAGGGGGCCCAGGTGCAAGAACTTAAATTTTTTAAAAAGAGTGTAGCCCTGGCTGGTTTTGCTCAGTGGTTAGAGCGTCAGCCTGTGGACTGAAGGGTCCCAGGTTTGATTCCAGCCAAGGGCACGTACCTCAGCTGCAGGCTGGATCCCAGCCCTGGTCCGGGCATGTGCAGGAGGCAACCATTCGATGTGTCTGTCTCACATTGATGTTTTTCTCTCTCTCCCCGTTTCGGTCTCTCTGAAAAGGCAATGGAAAAAATATCCTCAGGTGAAGATTAAAAAAATAAATTAAATTAAATTAAATTAAATTAAATTA